GCCTGGCATAAAGTTTCCCAACCGATCATTTTGTGTCTTTATGCTGTTCTTGCAGATTCACTGTTCCGAACACAATTACTCTCGTCTCATAGTGATGGGCCGTTTGCCGGATGTAGGCTTTTTGGGGCCTACTCCTGTCGCACGAACACTTGGTGTCTCGATGTATGCATCTGGCCGGACTGCTAGACCATTTATTGTGCATACCAGCACGGAACCAATGCGTATTCCCTTCGCGATCACTCCTGGCCTGAAGGTGAGCTTTTTACCTGGTTGTAGCATTCTCCATTTGATCTAGCGCGACCCCCCCCCCCACGTTCATCATCCCATCCGCTTCATTTTCAGCTTTGTCACCAATTGAAATCATTCGATCGTCCTGGGCACCAAATGGTTGACTGTGATAGCTACGCTTTGCTGCAGATGCGTTCATCTAAATCGAAATCCGCACTTGGCCAAACCGGAGCGAACGCGTTCTACCTGGTTCGTATGCCGATCGAGGGGTTCTACTACCTGACAATCTATGCTACTTCGAACACGGACTTGGACGCAGATCACCTGGAGTGTGTCTACCGCATCCTCATCGATGCACGCCGCACACCTCCGCCGACTGCAGTACCAGCATTTCCCCGGCAGACATTCTGGTGGGTCCAATGTCGTCTACACGAACCGCTGTCACAACGTCTACACATCAATCGCTCCTACACCTTCCGTATAGACGCTCCACTGTGTGACTCAATGGCTGTTGTTATCAATGAGACCGACTGGAAGTTTTTAGCCAATCAGAACCGAGACACTGGTACCTGGTTCGGAAAGGTCAATGTGGGCGAGTATTTGGGTTCGCTCTCAGTGTATGGTCGATTTTGGAAGAGTGTCGGCGAATTCCATCCTCCGCCAGCTACTTCGGATTCTGAAGAATCGGACGAAGCTTATGTCAAGTTGTTAGACTACGTCCTAGTTGAATAGTGCCCCGTTGGACCAACTGCGCATTGCCACCAGTGTGAATACATATCACTTGCCAACTACTTGTTTTCTTTTTCATTTCTTTATATATACATATCTATATGTTTTTGGAATCTTTCGTGCTACAGCTGTTTGATGGTGAACTCGGGACTTCCATTGCATTTCCCTTGCGCCCCCCCCCCACTCAACACGGATGTCTTTTTCGGTTTTTACTTTCAAACTGTACTATTTGTTGTCATTTCCAAATGTGGGCTTTTTGATGCGATCACGCTTGCTATTGTTTTCCTCATTATCTATTCTCAACCGTTATATTTTTACACTACTTTTTTGCACCTGTCCGACTTTCCAAATGCAGCGCCTTGATGACCAAATGACCCTACACATCTGTAGCCACCACTATTGGGTCCGTACCGTGACGCAATACACGAATTTCACGTTGATTGTTTCTTTTTCGTTCTCTGGCGTTGGTTTCCCCCCTCGTTGGCTTTACGATGGTTGTTTTTGTTGAAATCATTAATTAACCCAGTGTTGTTTGGGTGTCGATAAACTTTGCGGGTGGAGGCGAGGGCTCTTCTAATTGGAAAAAAATATTCGGTTCGAACCCAGCTCTGCTTAGATTTGGACAACTCCAGGCATAGTTCAACTTTCGGGCAGACTTTTGGGTTACATGGTAGCTGAGTGTGCACAACTGAGGGGGATCCTGCCAGGTGGCCCAAGCCTAGACAGGGGAAGTCGAGAGGCAGAGTTCGGGTCAGTAACCACTTGAGTCATCTCCCCCCCTTGAGTGTGCACAAATTCGCCAAATGTGTCGCGGGTCGGGTTGTAACGGCCAATTTCTCTCCAGGGGGCGTGGGCGGATTTATTTTTGGAGTCCGATGATTATATCACCTCAGTAGATTACCGCCAAAAACCTTGTCTACGGTGCGACTGTTCACTATTCTGTTGCATCTCAACTTCTGTCCAGGCCTACGCAACCTGACAGTATCCCTGCCCTCGTACTTCCTTCAGGTGGGATGGCACCTAG